TTGCCTGTAGTTAAAAATGAATCCATATCTTTTATTATTATCTTTTTACAGAAGAATTTTGTTGGTCGTAAATTGTCTGGGAGCTCGTATGTACTCCACTCCATATCACTTTAATCTCGAACTCAAACGGGGGATAGCTTGTTTTGTGTAGTGAATAGATATGCAAAAGTCTAGCACGAACGATTTAAGAGTTTGTCGTGATTGAACTTAGTGTCACTTCAATTGATGCTTTCTCTTCCTGAGTATTCAGTTCTAATGTAAAAAATGCAATGATCTGCAGCTTGATTGGGACTACTTATGTGCGAGAAAAGAAAGAAGGAGGTCTCTCAATCTACCGACAGGTTTTGAATCATCCCCAGGAGGGATCTGTACTGCTTGTTAGAGAAGTACAATTCTTTAGGATTCTTAAGTATATTCATAGATGAAAGTTCCACTGTTTTCGATCAATTAAGTTAAGAGCATATAGCGCTGCCAATTCAATAGGAAGGATGTTGGGGATTACGTTAAGAGTTTCGTTTGAAATTGTTCTAAGCGCGACGTTTATCTATATAAAACAAACTTATACAATAAAATATTAAGTATATAACTCGCGTTTTTGTAATAGCTGGTGCGATTTTCGGCCAAGATCCTACTCCACTTTGCGGTGTTGCGCTTTGATGTTTTTCCAACAAGTGGAAGGACCTACTGTTTATGCTAAGCCGCCTCCGAACGGCTGATGGATTTTTATGATTAGCTTTTATTTCAAGCCCGAAATACACTCGGAGGGGTTGACATTCCCTGCCAAGGGAATTTTCTATAACTTTCGGATGCTTGTCGTACCAGGATTTGAACTATGGCCTTCCCAATGGCAGTACACAATGCTAACCACTCGGCTGCTGTGACTGCCGTCATAGTTGTCTAACAAATACTATTTTAGAATAGAGCTCAAGATTTTGTTCAGATGCTGTTCAGTACTCGAAAACTAGAGCATTTTGATCTTTTTCAAGCATTATGAACAAAAGTTATGATTTTTCCACAGCATTTTTTTTTCAATAATTTTAAACTGATGTTTAAAAGCTGCAAAGATCACTGGATTTAAAAAGGCATTTTAACAAACATATTTAAAGAATTTTTGTTCCGCTGTTCGAATTTTCCAATTGATCTAAAATTACAAAGAAATATTTGGGCGGTTGAGCAATAAACAAGCACATATCGAGTTGCTTACACCGCTCAATACCCGTGAATCAGGAGCACTAGTTTAGACGTAGTTTTCTCACATTCGTACTCATCTGTGAACACTTTTAGGTGTTCACTGTAGATTTTTATTTTTTTTTTTTTCAATAAAATTATAAATAAATACAATGAAGTATAAGTTTTATAAAAAGCCACACTTTCATTACTCTAGCGACTGGACAAATCAGCCACATCGGTTCACTTAATTGAGAAGCAGAGTCCTCAATTGTCACTTGACACATTCAAATGTATGTTCGCTCTGTTGTTTAGCAATTTCATATCAATTGAAATTAATAGCGCCGCCACTACAACAAATATTCCTTTGTAATATAAATGTACTCGTATGTAAGTTTGCATGTGCATATTGTTTGTATTTTTTTATTATTGTATTTTTGTTCGATTTATATTCGTTATTCGCGAATGTCTGGTGGTATAATTCAATCGAAAGTTCTAAACTATTCTATAAGCATAATATTGGCGTTATTTTTCAATTTGTTTGTTGTCATGTAGTGGTACGACATAAGTACATACTATATGTATGTATGTATTTTTACGAAAATTACGTTTTTATTATTACAGTAGCACCAGTGATACAGAATAACTTAGAAGCAAAGGCAAAAAACCGGAACGGTCGTCGGTCATGCTGAAGTCTTTGTACCTTTTCATAACCATACTAAATTTATGTTATTTTTTTAAGGTTTGAGGGGTATGTAGAGAACACGCTTTTAGTTGCTTTTTGTAGGATTTTTGACCAAAACCCTAAAATGTGAACAAATCGCTTGTATAGGAGCTATATGATATATTCCTCCTATTTCGATGATATTCGGTGTCAATCTCTATTTGTCGACAAGATTTATAATCCCAAATATCAAGCTCTTAGAAGCTCTTTTGGAGAAGTTTTGACAAAAAAAACTCATGTCGGAAAAAATCGTTGATTTTCAGCACGAATGTGTAGTTCAAAATTTAAACGCAGAATACCAAATTGGATGTCAAATTTATGACGGAAATATGCAAAATTGTTCATATATGTACATACGTGTATATGCTGTAGTGGTCCGACAAATGATCGCTTAAATGTACACGCAATATGGCATCTGTATACCATGTTTGATGGATAGACGGTTATGGCTAAATCAATTAAACTCTTCATACCGACCCGGTTGGTATACGAGTAAATTTTTATGGTTCTCTTTTCTTTACATACTTTGGACCATAATTAATATATATTTTCATGTACATAAAAGAATAAAAAAATTTTCTAAAATTATTCGACCCACTGCAAGGAATGTCAACAGCGCCGAGTGTATTTCTGGAATGAAATTAAAAGCTCCTAACAAAAATGAAATGAAATGTTGGAAAAAATATGAAATGTTGGAAAAAATATCAACACGCACTTCTCAAATTCGAGTAAGAGATCGATCGTTTTTTAATGCTTCAGTGGTTATAAGGCGCCATTGACTAGGAAAGAGTAATGGATCTTCTTATGAATTGTTTTTTTTTTACAAATATTTTCACATATCTTACAACAGTTGTAAAACTACAACAAGCATTTACAAAAGAAAAATTTTTCGTTTGTATATTACTCAACCAATATCTGCATAAGCCATGCTTATTTATTGCATCCCAACCAAATAAGACGCTAATGAGATTTCTTAATTTATTTGCAATTCTTCGTTTTTTCCTTGTTTTAATGCTTACTTCCAAATAATGTACATTAACACCGAAATCAAGTTGAAAATGCTCATTGAACTTGACTGGGAACACGTGTCGAGATATTGATCGCGACATATTCGTATACGCTTATGTATCATATGTATATGCATATGTAAATGCAATGACGAAAGACGAGTGAAATATTTAAAATAAAATCGACTTTAGTGTGATTACTTTCTCAAATAAACCAGTTTTGGACAGTATTCGTGGGTAGTCAACAAAGGAATGTACAATCCAATAAATACTTTTGGGGTAATTTGAGGCCATACATACATAGGAGACGATTTTCCTCCTCCTCTTCAAAAGTACTTGTAATCCGATTGGCAAAACCTCTTTATGTTTTCACATTCCATAAAAATTATGAATCGGACAAATTCGGTGTGTGAATCTTATTAATAACAGGGCAGAGAATGTATTGTTTAAACTTGCTTTGTGAAGAAATGTTCTATGTATAGAAGCCCACGCAAGTGTAGAAAGTATTTGACTTTCATTCACCTAGTCTTATGTCAAGTATATTCAGCGGTCTATTTACATACCTAACTTCCGAGAGCGTTACATCGACTTGGTTAACTATTTTGCCATAGGGAATATACGCTTTCGCCTCTATGGGACGAGGAATTCCCGTCAACAAACAGAAGGAAGTCGGAAAGCTGCAATTCCAACATACTGATAGCCGGTTTCCTCCATAACTTGCACTGGGATAAAGAATGTCGAACTAAGGCTGCAACTACCCATTTTACTCACCAGCCGTCCATAAGTGGCGACGAAAAGGCGAGATAATACACGAGTTATCAACGCTGCTGAGAGCGGCGAAATGTTGCCAGCTGCCAGTGTGTTTGCACACTTTTGGACAAATTCATAATTTTCGTCAACTAATTTCATAAGTTTATGCTTGAATATAAACAAAACAAATATACATGATCTATATGGTAACAAATAATTAGTTCCGAATTTAGTTTTCATTTCTTTTGAAAAAAACTGCGCATTATCTTCGATTACTTAATATTACTTTAAGAAAGACTATACTGGCAACCTTGTATAGCAACGAGAAATTAGCCCAGCCGGTTTTACGGAAAAAATCAAATCTTCGTTGGTTTCTGCGGAACAACCGTCACTAACGGAATGGGCAGGCGGTGACAACTTTGTGTTTACATGGCGCTCTCATAAGATAGGTTCCTATGGACGGCTGGTTCGCGCGTTGGGTAGTTGCAGCATAAAGTGGAGAGAAAAACAGACTGCCTACCTCGAAATGTGAGAGAGCTGAAGAGCAAAGCTACACATGTTTGCAGGGATAATGCTCAATCCCGAAGCATACTAATGTAGTAACGATAGTGACTGATCATCAGAGTATGTTAAGCTCATGAACAGAACAGTTCTTCAAACTTGCTGAATGGCAACGAGAAGTCTCGGAGATGATGAACCGGAATATCCAATTGGTTATGATAGGAAAAGCGTTAAGTTACTCGACTGTAAGAAAGTTGGAATACCTATTGCCCGCTGAAAGATTAACATAACGGTGGGGGCAGATGGCTTACCGTCTGCGTTAGTCAAATATGGCGGTGAAGAACTGACAAGGTGCATGCGTCAGCATTTTTTCGAATATGCTTTAGCGAAAGCATTACCAATCCCACAAGCAGGTGAACCCAAGAGAACAAATGCCAACTCAATATTGAGCGTACTTTGTGAAAGATTAAAGAACATCGTCAAGAAATTGGTTGTACCTTATCACTGTGGCCTTAAAACAAGAAAGTCTCTCACTGACCAGATATTGATAATGCGTAAAATCGATGAAAACAACCTAATAATCAATTTTGGAGAGTCGCATAACTTTCAAGTCGTACATAATTTCGCTTATATAGAAACCAGCAATAACACCAATATTAACGTCAGTCTAGAAATTCAACGTAGAATCAGACTGCAACTACCCATTTCACTTACCAGCCGTTCGCATTTAGTTTTCATATCTTTTAAAAAAAAAAACTACGCATTTTCTTCGATTATTTAATATTACTATAAGAAAGACTATACTGGCAACCTTGTATAGCAACGAAAACTGTGCCGAGCCGATTTTACGGAAAAAATCAAATCGCCGTTGGTTTCTGCGGAAAAACCGTCACTAACAGCACGGACAAGCGGTGACAACTTTGGACAGCTGGTACGCGCGTTCGGTAGTTGCAGCATCACTCTTGCCAATATGTGCGTGGACTGAGACAAGAATTAAAACGTATAGCCTCTCTGGAGAATCAAAACAAAGTTTCATATCCGAAAAGATAAAATTAGAAATTTTAGTCAAGACACAGCGGATATGATTATGCCGGCCGGATGAGCGAAAACACTTCAGCTTTGTAAAAATAAATATACGCTGCTTACAATTCAAACTCAACGGAGGTAGGTGGTGGTTTCTTCTGACTCTCAAACATAGTTTTTAGCCAGGCGACGTGCCTTCCGAGATAACGCATGTGAGTGCACTGCAGTAGCGTTTCGTCAAAACTTGTTTTGTGCGAGAGAGTTTGAGCAATCGCTTGTGGAGACATTAGGTAACAAGTCTACAAGTAAATAATTCGCTTGTACCTACATCACCTACACTTGTAAATGACGTTTCAAAGAGAGAATTTTTAGTTGTGCATGTGCGTTCGTTTGCGTTGGAGGAGATATCGTATTTATTGTTTAAGTTTTGAATCAATATTGTTAGTTAGCTATATTAATTAAATATGGCTGAAAATGATAAAAAAGATGATATATTGGAGAAAAAATTACAATTTATACAAAAAGTATATGAAAATAGGGAGATTCTGTTTGGTGCATATTCGGACAAAATAATAAGATCAGTTAAGATAGAGAAATGGAAAGAATTGGCAGAATTAGCAAAGACACTTTGTTTAATGCGTGCGCATAAAAATCACACATATTGCAGAGATACGCTGTGGCAAAATATGAAGAAAGCAGCATTGGTAAGTGAGAAAGAGTTATTTTAATTTTTTTTTTTTTTATAATTTTCTAAAGCTTAACATAATGAGCGTTTTATTTTATTTCTTCTATAAATGTGAGATTTGTATAATTTAACCGACTCTTTTACTTTATTTTCTTTTCTTTAGGCAAAAGTTGAGAATCCCAAAAAAACATCAGTAAATATGACCGAGGGCGATCAATTGGTGCTTAAAATTATAAGCGAAGAGTTGCCATCAAGTGCTGATAACGAAATGTCATCCGCATTGAACTTTGTAACAACAAAATATCTCAACGAGTCAACAACAAATCAATCGTTATTATTCTCACCAAACAATGACTTATCTTCCACCAGCCACATACCCGCGGGGCCAGGTACATTTCTAAAATAATAAAACTCGACGACTGCCCTTGCATGTAAATGCAATTTACTGATGCATGCATACATATCACTTTTATCTTTACAGGTAAACGAAAACGCACTGCCACAGAGGATGGCATCTCTAAGATCGCAGAAAAAGAACAACATTTGTTAATTGAACACTTAAAACTACAAAACTACAAGACTAAATTGGAAATTTTAAAGTTGGAAACTGAATTAAATCTTCCAAGATCTCAGTATACAAAGAGTTTTGTCTGTGATGAAGGGGACAAGTAGCAGCGCACTAGAATAGATGTAGATGTATGAATTTGAAATTCTTTTTTTCAAAATATGTTATTTTGACTTAAAATAAATATAAGTTTATTTAAATAAAAAATTGCTTGTATGCAAGTAATTATAGTGACAAACCAATGATAAGCTACACATTTAAGTCTCCTTTTCATTTATTTATACATACATATCTATGAATAGTTTGTGTATACAAGTATACATACATCGTCATCGATACGCAACTCTCCGACTACATGCTATGTTTGAGCTCTATTCTCCAAAATATGCTATGCACAAGCAACAACAAAAAATCCATATGCATTCACCATTCAGAGAACTAATGGTGCAACTACCCATTTCACTTATGCTGCAACTACCCAGCGCGCGTACGAGCCGTCCATAGTAAGGCTGCAACTACCCATTTCACTTACCAGCCGTCCATAAGTGGCGACGAAAAGGCGAGATACATACACGAGTTATCGACGCTGCTGAGGGCGGCGAAATGTTGCCAGCTGCTAGTGGGTTTTGCACACTTTTGAACAAATTCATAATTTTCGTCAACGAATTTCATAATTTATGTGTTCGAATATAAACGCAAATCAAATATACATGACCTATATGGTAAGAAATTCTAAGTTACGCGGTTGGTTTTAATTTCTTTTGAAAAAACTACGCATTTTCTTCGATTATTTAATATTACTTTAAGAAAGGCTATACTGGCAACCTTATATAGCAACGAGAAATGAGCCGACGCGGTTTTACGGAAAAAATCAAATTTTCGTTGATTTCTGCGGAACAACCGTCACTAACGGAATGGGCAGGTGGTGACAACTTTGTGTTTACATGGCGCTCTCATAAGATANGTTTGAGCTCTATTCTCCAAAATATGCTATGCACAAGCAACAACAAAAAATCCATGTGCATTCACCATTCAGAGAACTAATGGTACAATTACCCATTTCACTTATGCTGCAACTACCCAACGCGCGTACCAGCCGTCCATAGTAAGGCTGCAACTACCCAACGCGCGTACCAGCCGTCCATAGTAAGGCTGCAACTACCCAACGCGCGTACCAGCCGTCCATAAGTGGCGACGAAAAGGCGAGATGCATACACGAGTTATCGGCGCTGCCAGTGTGTTTGCACACTTTTGAACAAATTCATAATTTTCGTCAACGAATTTCATAATTTATGTGTTCGAATATAAACGCAAATCAAATATACATGACCTATATGGTAAGAAATTCTAAGTTACGCGGTTGGTTTTAATTTCTTTTGAAAAAACTACGCATTTTCTTCGATTATTTAATATTACTTTAAGAAAGGCTATACTGGCAACCTTATATAGCAACGAGAAATGAGCCGACGCGGTTTTACGGAAAAAATCAAATTTTCGTTGATTTCTGCGGAACAACCGTCACTAACGGCATGGGCAGGCGGTGACAACTTTGTGTTTACATGGCGCTCTCATAAGATAAGTTACTATGGACGGCTGGTACGCGTGTTGGGTTGTTGCAGCATAAAAGGGGTTATAAACTTGACGATACACTATTTGAAAAAAGTGACGTATGTATATACGTACACACAAACATATATATGTATTGCATGTACGTCACACTCGAGAGCGCAATCTTCTATCACCAGTAGGGATATGTCTCCACATCATTGTCTGAGTTTTTTTTATTTACAGGAGCGTGAAATGACATATTGACTTCGGTCCGAACAATGCGATTACTGGAAGAAGAAAGAAGAAGAAGAGATAGACTTCCAAATCGGATCAGTACGACGAGTTGACTTGGTTTAGCGTGGAATTCGGTATTCTACAGACGTTACTTAAAATAAATATTGCTACTAAAAATCCTCGAAATTTGGCACATTGTAATAAATTTCATATAAGTTCATGGCGGTAGGTCCAAAAAATGAGCTGCTTCGACGGGCTTGAACCACAAAAAAAGGGGGATTCGATGAGTTGATTTTAAGGGGCATGCAAGCAGGTGGTTAGTGTCGTTCGGGGTGTCGTCGCCTGCAGTACATAAGTTGGGTATATCAGGATAAGACAGTAGAAATTTAGTCGACTACAATATCCCAAATTTAACTGTGCCATTATTTCTCGGGTCTCTCGAGGTAGCTCGAGCTCTTAGTCTGCAATAGTTGGTATATGGACTCCGAGAACGCTGTTCACTGAAAGACAGTTCAAGCAGGTATTGATGAATTCTCTGTGATTGGCGTTTAAAGCCTGTCGGAACGCCGTGCTGTCCAGCGATTCTCATTTATGGTGCTAAATGGAGTCTGTGTAGTTGACTACTGCGTTCCTAATGTGCCTCAAGTAAATGCCTTTTCCTGTGCTGCCAAGGGTAGCATACGAGGGTATATTGCTTGCACAGCATAGCATTATGGTCCTTAACTCGTAGCATAGATTTTTCGCTGTGCAAGTTTTGCTCCGGAGACATCAGTAGGTTTCCTCACAAGGACCTTAGGGTGGTGTTCTGACACCCTGGTAACGTCGGCACCTGCAGTCCAATTGCCTTGCTTGTTGTCCCCAGACGAGTGTTTTTTCCACTTGTTGCGCTTATGTTGTTCAACTTTATGTCAAACTTCCTAATTGAGATACCTAATAAACGGATATCCCTGAACGCTTGTCTTTGATGAAAAATCTTCAGCCAGTACTCCTGTCACTTTTTAATTTTATTGAATTTGTAAAAAACTTTACAAGTTACAAGTTAGTTAGTTCTATATATTTTCTGCATTATTTTGGTCGCCAGCAAACAAAAAATAAGCACAATTTTGGTTTCGTCGGTTTCATTCTGGAACACACTTTGGAACCCCTTGTAAAAGGCTGGATACCCCAAGAAGCTCGATGTATGACTGCCACATGAGTTAACGAGAAAACACCTCATAGACCATAACAGATTATTTAAACCAACGTCAAATGAAAACGGTCTTGGTCGAAGGGTAGTGAGTCTGCACAAACGGTCTTCAAGCCGGTTTGTAGGATTGCCAAAGCATCATTCACTATGAGATGCTCTCCTACCGCCAAACTCTTAAGTCGGACTGTCACATCGATTCATCAGAATCTCCAAAAGCATGGTTGGAGATACTTACGCATCTATCTTGTAGTCCGAACTTCGCACGAATCGATTACCATCTGTTCAAGAATACGGCCAATGATTTGGCTAGTAAAGAAAAGCCTGTGAAAATTGATTATCCCAATTTTTCGCCAATAAGGACAAGGGTGTCTATGAGAGAGGAATTATTACATTACCTTCAAAAGGGCATAAAGCTCATAACCCCAACTATGGTAAATAAAGTATTTAATTTAATGCAAAATAATGGTATATATTTTACTATAGGAAAAAAAATTTCTTCGTTTTTTGAATATAATGGGTTGAATTTGAAAAAAATTAAAATATATTTTTAACTTTTTTTTATTATCTACGCAAAAATAAACTGAGACACTGACATACTAAAATTTTGCAAACAAAAATGTATGTACATATGTATGTATGAATAAAAAAATATTATCGTTTTTTTCCATACTCAAGAGCAAAGAATGAAAAACTGAAAATCACAACTATTTATTGAATTTAACGAAAATATATGCGCCACTGACACACCCGCACACCTACATACGTACATATGTACAAATATTATTTGCTTTCTTCCGTCAACAATTTTGCACTTTGTATTAGCATTTTCAACCCGTCAGCGATACCTGACGCACCGAAGCTCAAAGTTCATTTGACGATTGGTTGTTGTAGTAATAAAAGTAAATGAAATTAATCATAGCTAAAAACAACAATTAACTATGAAAAAATTATTATTACTAATATACAAACAATACTCTGTTCAAAAGGTACTTTATTGTATATTCATGGTTTCATCATTTAAGGGACCTTTTTCTTCCCCCTTTTGGTACTTACTGTTCGTGAAAAGTGTAAAAAATATATTTTAAATGCGTATTGCTGGCCAATTCGCGAATTCAGTCAAGAGGTTGTTCACACTCGTCCACTAATGACAGATCAATCGGTAATAATTGTTTAAACTGTGTATGTATGTAAATATGTATATGTATTGTATGTGCACATCTATATTGTCATTTTCAATTAAATTTTGCGACTTCGTCAAACAAATGACACGTCAATTTTATGTTTTACCTTGCGAATTTTTAATACTTCCTTTTTATATTTTTATTTTTCTTGTGAGTACTTCTTAAAGTTAATCACCCTTAGATATTCAAGTACAAAATAAATATTTACTTATTCGCCTCTATTGACATTTTCTGTTTCAAAATACTCCACATAAGAGATATGGCCTTGTGTTAGCGTTTCTTCTAATCCGTAAAACGCTTCCCGAATCCGATATTTGAGGAAGCTTTTCGGCGGTTATCTATACGGATGACATGATCGCATTTTTCAGAATACAGAATGTCTCCTCTGCGTGGATTGAGCTTAGTTTCTACGTCATACCCGTGAACTCATGTTTAGTCACCTGTTATAACTTTCTTCTTTGATCCATTTCTAAGAGCGTAACCTTAGTAGCTGTCACAGACAAGGTCAACAATGAAAGTAGCTCAAAGTTGTATCATATTTCAGTAGGGTTGGGTTAGGTTAGGTTGAGCTGACTGATCCAGCGCTTGTGTCCCTGGTGTGAGTAAAATTGCCTATGTCTGTCAATTGCAGGACACTCAGATATTACGTGCTCCACTATCTATACACATTCCCGACATTTTCTACATTTATTATGCCCAAACAGACCATATGTATATTCGTATATAAGCATATATATATATATATAGCATACGACGCCAAAAAGCAATGCGCCGTTAACCGTCCTCACAGCAGGAGTTCGGCCTCTTTACCACTAGGAAAAACTTTGTAAGCCTTTAGCAATCTAAATTTTGTACATAGTTTTTGCATTCCTGGCCCCCTTAGGTCGTTCCCATAGTCTATTCGCCTAAAGGAGCAACATTACTTCATGCTTACTTCTTGAATGGCCTTCAACACTTGTGTGATTCGGCACACATTTACTGAGTCCTCTTCTATTTCAGACAGTATTTTAAGCGCTTCTTTATACAGTGCAACTCAAGCCGACTTCGTGCTGTATGAAATTAAGGCCTTGATGACCGCTTGGCAATTTTTAAACCCAATATTT